CTTTTTTGATTAATAATGGCGTTACAATACCTCGACAAGGCCATAGAAAACAATTAATGTATGACTATCCTAGCTATTGCAAAACGATGGATTGCACTGCCATTTTTAATATGATAGAGCAAGTGATTAGTGTGACTCACCAAAACGATCGACCCAGAAGGATACTATATATTCAACACCTTTTACAACAGGAAATATGCAAACTATTGATAGATCGAAGTATCTCTATACCAATCCTTAAATTTGACGAATTGCCCGTCCCTTACTTTCCAGGTGCTGATAAATGTTTTGAGAAACTCTCTGAGCTGTACTGTCATACAGCAATACCAGATTTTCTCTTCTATGCTTTGGCACAGAATTGTAAAAATATTCAGACCATTATTATCGACTTTTATGATGAGGATAATATTGGTCTATCAGGTTTGATTGACGTACAACAAAATCTCCAACGATTAGAATGTAGAATCGATGAAGTAGCCGAATCCCAAAGGTTTCCTGCAATTATTGATGTGATAAAATTAAATGCAAGCACATTTGTTCATCTCGAACTTTTACATTTTATGTGTATTCCACCTCAGATAATCTTGCTAATGCAAAATTTAAAAGTACTTAAGATCTTGTTGAACAGAATGCCATATGACGATGTTTGGGAAGAGCTTGCATCAGTGCGTTTGCCACAACTGGAAATCCTTCATATTTCTCTGTGTTCACTACGATTAGAAACTTTACATCCTTTAATTGCAAAAAATTATGGTAATCTTAGCACATTAATAATTGATTTTCATCCGACAAGTAATCAATCAATATTTTTCAATGAAACGGTCGCACAATTTTGTCCGAATTTAAAAGTCTTTGCTACATGGTTTCTAAATAATGAATTTGATGTACTTGAAGAAATATTAACCAAATGTCAACATTTAGAAGAATTATTCCTTCAGGCTTTTGATTATATGAATTTAAATAGCCATAGATTGTTCAAATTATTAGAAATAATTACTCCAAAACAT